GGGGCGGGTGAAGGGTTCGGCGTCGGCCACCCGCCCGCCGGCCACGCCACGGGCACACTCGGAATGCCCGCTGGCGCGCTCAGCGGCCCCCGCTTTGCGCGGGCGCCGACGCTGCTAGACAAAAGACTAGACAAAGACTGCACCGTTTTGCAGACGAAGCAAATCCCAACTCCCCGGTGCAAAAGCGATCGGCGCACACCATGGTGCATGCGCCGCCGCCGGACGGCCGCCAGGCAGCCCGTCCTGCCTCAGGCCGCCGCCGCCGCCGCCGCCGCCGCGCCTGAGCTCAAAACAGGCGCGGCGGCCCGCACGCCGGTATCGCGTTGGGGGCGCTCACGCGCCCCGCCTTGCCCGGCGCCTGCCCGTGCGGCGCGTGCTGCGCGTTCTGCGGGCCCTCCCCCTCGTCCCGCCGCTGCCCGTGCTGCTTCAGCAGCTGCTGCTGGCGCTGCCACACCTGGTGCTGCCGCGCGCGCAGCTGCTGCTGCCGCTGCCGCTGCTGCTGCTGCCGCTGCTGCTGCTGTTGCAGCCGCTGCTGCCAGACGCCCAGCAGGCTCGTCACCTTCGCCTCATCCTGCAATTCGCCCACCCCGCGGTGCTGAAGCCGCGCGCCCCGGTCCAGCGACGCCGTCGCATCTGCCTTTACCACGTCTGCATACGCGCGCCGCGACGCGCCGCCGCCGCCGCTGCCGCGCGACGATGCGTCGCTCGCCTCCGCCGACGAGCGGCTACTGCCGCTGCCGCTGCCGCTGCCGCCGCTGCTGTTTGCCATTATGCGGAACACGCTGTGCGCGACGCCGCGCGCGGCGGGCTTGGCGCCGGCCGCGGCTGCCATAGTTTCGAACATCGCCGCGTTCTTGCGGAAGTTGGCGCGCCTCCTGTCCTCCTTCATGCGGAGCGCGAGCCGCTGCGCGCGGCGCGCGCGCCACGCGGACTGCAGCGTGACGGCGGCGCGCCAGCGGGCGGCGTACTCGAGGAGCGCGTCGCGCAGCCGCCGCGCGCGGGCCTCGGCACGGATCGCCGCGCGCCCGCGCCACGCGCGCTGCAGGGTTGCGGCGGCGGCCTCGTGCGCGGGGCCGTAGCTGGCGGCGCCCGCGCGGCGC